TTTTACGGGAAGAGTGTTAGTTCTGCACGAGGACCCCGCCGGGGCGGCCGCGGGCCTCGGCCTCCATAGCAACAGCGTCCCCCTGGCGCTGGCGGGCGCGCCCGAGGCAGGCTTTCCGCCCGGAGCGGTCCCGGGCGGGGGGGCCGGGCCGCCCCCGGGGTCCAAGAAGCCGGACCTGGGGGCCCCGGGGGCAGGAGCCGCAGCTGGCGGCGGCGGCGGAGGACTCGATGGACCGCGGCTGGCAAGTGAGTGTGGTCCGGGCCGGGAGGGTGGCGGCGGACGGAAGGCCTAGGGCCCGCGGGGCCGGGTGAGGCCGGATGAGGCCCTGCGGATGAGCCTGGCCCGCGGGTCCTCCCCCTGCCTCCCTAGGCGGTCCGAGAGGCCTAGGTTAGGCCTGCTGCTTCCTGCCTGCTTCCTGCTTCCCCTTCCCACGGCCTCGGGGAGCCGAGGAGTGAGGGGCGGCTGGGTTCCCGGGAACCTGGGTGGGTGGACTGGGGGTGTGTGGGTGGGGGCGGGGGAGAAGGGGGATCGGCTTTGGCGTGCGGTGTGTGAGAAGGGGGGTGTCGTTTCCGGGGTGTGTGGAAAGGGGCTGGGTTTGCAGGCACCTGTGTTTTGCGTGCCCGTGTGGAGCGGTGTCTGCAGAGGGTTGAGGTTCCCTAGTGGGTGTGTAGGAAGTGGGGCGGGGTTAAGGCTTCCTGGAGGAGGTTGAAAGCTCGGAAAAGTTTGTCTAAGGCTTATGGGAGAAAAGTTTCCCAGGCAGAAAATGCTTTCGAGGGATTGGGAGTGAATAAACAGCAGCTCTTAGTGTGTTTAGGTTTAGTTGAGAATGTAGAGTAGGAATTTCACAAGACTTGCATTTCAACATAGTTTTTGGAGCAAGTTTGCTGGGTGTCAGTAGGGGGTTATGTCTTCTACAACTTTGTATCCAGTGAACTCTCAGCGTGGAGCCTTGAAAGCATGTCTTGTGTAGGGAACGTGTGTGTGTGTGTGTGTGTGTGTGTGTGTGTGTGTGTGTGTGAGAGAGAGAGAGAGAGAGAGAGAGAGAGAGAGAGTGAGTGAGTGAGCTCTTGGGTGCAGAAGTTTTGAGGCATGTACGTCTTTTAAAACATTTGTTATTCTCTCTGGACGTACGAACCTTTTTAGTTAGTGAGTAGAATTTAGAATTATAATAAGTGTTTAAGTGTAATCTATTTTACAGAATGTTGCTCTAAAGGAAAAAGTAGAACAGGTGTCAGACTTTCCTTTTCTCTTTCTGAATATATTGAGCATTTCTAAACCAAATGGGAAAGTCCTACTTTTTTTTGGCATTTCTATACAGTTTTTGGATCTTAAAATAATTTTTTTTAAATAGCTGACATTTAAAAAAAATATTTTATTGATTTTTTACAGAGAGGAAGGGAGAGGGATAGAGAGTCAGAAACACCGATGAGAGAGAAACATCGATCAGCTGCCTCCTGCACACTCCCTACTGGGGATGTGCCCGCAACCAAGGTACATGCCCTTGATCCGAATAGAACCTGGGACCCTTGAGTCCGCAGGCCTATGCTCTATCCACTGAGCCAAAGCGGTCAGGGCAGATCTTAAAATAATTTGATAGGTAACTTGGATGTCAGAACATTTTTGTCTTTTTTTGTAAGCCTGCAAATGAACCTGTTCTTGTAGCACTTATTTGCTCTATAAGGAGTAGTGTCTTCCCAGAGATGTGTGTGTGTGTGTGTGTGTGGAGCAGAGAGATTGTTTCTTTCCTTTTTTTCTCTCTCTTCCTTCTTTCTTTCTTTCTTCCTTCCTTCCTTCCTTCCTTCCTCTTTCTTTCTCTCTCTCTCTCTCTCTCTCTCTCTCTCTCTCTCTCTCCTTCCTTCCTTCCTTCCTTCCTTCCTTCCTTCCTTCCTTCCTTCCTTCCTTCCTTTTTTATTGCTTTTAGAGAGGAAGCGGGGTGGGGGGGGGGGAGATAAACATCAATGATGAGAATCATTGATGTGCTGCCTCCTGCATGCTCCCTATTGGGGATCAAGCCCACAACCAGGGCATGTGCCCTAATCAGGAATCCAACCGTGACCTTCTGGTTCTTAGGCCCAGGCTCAACCACTGTGCCTGGCCAGTCATATTTCTTTTGCTGGGATGGGCTTGACTTTAACGGAGACATATTTGGTAAGGTTGATATGCTAAGAAGATTAATTTGTAACTTAAAATGTTTTGTAAGAATTAGTTTTTATTGGTGGAATTTTATCACTTTTGAGAAGAAACTTTACAATTTCAAGATAAATCTGCTGGATGTGTAAATTGTGGCTCAAATTTATTTAAGAGTAATGTTTAGTAAGCAATGAACAGTAGTTTTGTCACCTACAAAAAAAGTGACTTTAAAAATGCTGGTTTTTGATTTAATCTTTGATCTTTCTAGGGTTTTCTAATACATAGAAGTAGTGGATTTGGGACATGAAAGCTAGGTGAAGATGGGAGGTGGAGAAAAATACTAGCAATGGTTCAAAGGTGTGGGAATCACTTCATATCTCAAAAAGGGAATGTAATTGCCTGGGTTATAGGGTCTTGAGAGGTCAGGCAGTTAATGCTAAGAAAGCCTTTAAAAATTAATATTTAGTCATGTAACAGTTATTTACTTAAATAGCTGAATTGTGTATTTGGATTCAGTAGGCTTGTTTTAACTTGACTGGGTAAAACCTGAGGCTCCTCTTTTTTGCTGTAGGTCTTTTTTTTTTTTTTTATTATTCTAATAATCCTCAGTAGTACCTAGGTTGTGACTTCTTATGGGTAAGAAAATTGCTTCATATCAGTAAGTATTAAGTTGCTCAGGAATCAGGGAAAAGGATTGTATTGTTGATTTAATGGCTAACTGCTTTAAATTTTTGCAATTAATTGATTGTTTTTAGTTTACTTTCTATCTTTAATATGTTATACTGTATCTTTTTTAAAAAATATATTTTATTGATTTTTTACAGAGAGGAAGGGAGAGGAATAGAGAGTTAGAAACATCGATGAGAGAGAAACATCAATCAGCTGCCTCCTGCACACCTCCCACTGGGTATGTGCCCGAAACCAAGGTATATGCCCCTGACCGGAATCGAACCTGGGACCCTTGTGTCTGCAGGCCGACGCTCTATCCATTGAGCCAAACCGGTTAGGGCTGTTATACTGTATCTTAATAATTATACTGTGTGCGGCAATAGGAAGAGAGGGACCAAGGTGGCAGTTTAGGAAGATGATGAGCTCACCTCCCATGAACATACTGAATTTATACCTATATATAGGACAGTCTTTTCTGAGAGATAACTGAGGGCCAATTGAACATCTTCTATAGCTACTGCACACCAAAGGAGAGAGGCGGGGGCAGGGAGAGAGAGAGAGAGAGACAAATTGAGATTGAGAGATTGAGATTGAGATTAGAGGATTGGGGAACTGTTAGAACTCTCTGGGATCTGAGGTAACTTTTCAGGATCAGAGAAGCCAGTGAATGCCATTGTTTACATTCTCCCTCCACTTGGATAGTGCAAGCAGGAGTTCTATTCAGGTGCACTGCCCAACCTGCAAGGCAGCAGTAGTGCCTTCCTGGCCACTCCTGGAGCTACTAGCTTCACCAGCTACAACAGGGTGCTGTAGAGTGTGTATATAGGGTCATCCCACCTCGAGATTGACACAGTGGGTCAAACAGGACACTGCAGTGTGTGCACCAGGTTGCCTCACTCAGATCAGCAGGGTACTGAAGTGTTGGGACACCAGTCTGCCTTGCCTAAACCCCATTCTAGCTGTGGATAGCCAGAACAAAAGGGAGCTACCACATGTGCATGGACACCAGACTGCCCTGCCCTGAGCCTGCTTTTTCTGGCCAGGAAGCATCTCAGGCATCACATGTGCCCACTCTTACTCCAACTGGCCTGCTAAAACCACCTGGTACAGTCTACTTTTTTAAGATTGGGAAAGTTATTTTATCTAATTCATTGAAACAGATACAGATAGTCAAACAAAATGAGAAGACAGAGGAATATATTCCAAACGAAGGAACAAGAAAAACACCCTAATAGCCTGGCTGGTGTGACTCAGTGGTTGAGCATTGACCTATGAACCAGGTGGTCACGGTTCGATTGCCTGTCAGGGCACATGCCCAGGTTGTGGGCTTGGTCCCCAGTACAGGGTGTGCAGGAGGCAGCCAATCAATGATTTTCTCTCTCTCTCCCTCTTCCTTCCTCTCTGAAATCAGTAAAAATATCTTTAAAAAATCCTAATGAAAAAAAGATAAGTAATTTGCCTGATAAAGAATTCAAATAGCACTGGCCCATGTAGCTCAGTTGGTTCAGCATCGTCCCATGGACCAAAAGGTTGCCGGTTCGATTCCCAGTTGTGGGTTTGATCCCTGGTTGGGCTGTGTATGGGAGGCAACTGATCAGTGTTTCTCTCTCACATCAGTGTCCCGTCCCCCCCCCCCCCCCCGCTTCCTTTCCTCTCCCTCTCTCTAAAATGAATAAAAACATAATTTTCCTTTTAGAGAGAATGGAAGGGAGGGAGGAGGGGGCAGAGAGGGAGAGGGAGAGAGAGAGACCAGTGTGAGAGAGACACAATGATTGTTTGCCTCAGCCAGGGATCAAGCCTGCAACCCAGGTATGTGCCCTTGACTGGGAATTGAGCCCAAGACCCTTCAGTCCGCGGGCTGATCCTCTAACCATTGAGCCAAAACAACCAGGTTGAAAACATTAAAAAATTTTCAAGTAACAGTCATAAGTATGCTTACCAAAATTACGTGTAGAATAGGGGAACTCAGAACTTCAACAAAGAAGAGTTAAAAAAATTAATAAACAATCAACTTAAGAATAACTAAAATGAAAAATACACTAGAAGGAATCGATAGCAGATTGGATAATACAGAAGAACAGATTACTGCTTGGAGGATAGAATTGTGGAAATTGCCTAATCAGGACAGCAATAAGAAAAAAGAATAATTTAAGGAATATCTGTGACAACATCAAGTGCACTAACATATGCATTGTAGGGATCCCAGAAGAAGTGAGGAGAAAATATTTGAGGAAATATGACTGAAAACTTTGCTAATCTGGGGAAGGAAGCAGACATCTAATTCCAGGAAGCACAGTTCCAAACAAGATGAACCCAAAGAGGCCCACACCAAGATATTGTAATTAAAATGACAAAAGTTAAGGATAAAGAGATAATCTTTAAGCCACAGAAGAAAACAGCATTTCATAAACAAAGGAACTCCATCCTCTCCCAAACCCCATAAGGC